TATTATACTAATAAAATATAATTAATAAAATTTAAATAATAAAATTTAACTACTAAAAATTTATATTATAACAATATGTCTTATTGTTTTCTAGAAAGAAGAAATCAATATAAATTGCTGTTTCAGAATAGGTTATAATATTGTGTATATACATTTGTAGTTTGTTATGCACAATAATTGCTATACTAAGAGAAGCTTCTTATTGTTTAGAGAGTACTAGAATATAGTTAGAAGTATAGAACTTATATAATAGATTAGTAAGTGTAATTTTGTTAATATTTTGAGTTTAATTTTAGTAAAAAAAATTATATAAAAGTTTTGCTCTTTACAATATGTAATCTATTCTTGTAGTTTTGGGCTATTATTGAGTCTTCTTATGTTATATATAACTATATTAATTTTTTCTCTGATATTAGTATTAAATATAGGTGTTATGTTTGTGAATATAGGTATATTATTTATTATATTTGTAGTCATAATTAATTGTATTGCATCTCTGTTTCTGTTCTTGAATGACCTAGTGAAGTTAGTAATATGTTAGTAGGTATATTTGTAAAGATATTCTAATTTAAAAAGAGTAAATTAGAAAGTTAAAAAATATAATTAGGAAAATAGCTAACATCAAAATATTCTTTGATCTTTCCTAAAGTATCTGATATATTTTCATATTCTGTAATAGATATACAGATATCTTTTATTTACTTTTCTTTATAATACTTTGTAATTCATTTAGTGTTGAAGTAAATCTCTAGAGTTTGTATTTAGTTTTTTTGTTAGGATATCTATTTATTCTTGTAGTATGCTATAAAAGAAATAATACTTCTTCAGTGCTCTTGCTACAATAGTAAGTTCTCTAAAAAAGAAGATTAGCAGTGTAAAATTAATTGTGATTATTTCTTTTAGATTATTTAATAGTTTAGGGAGCTCTATATAATTACATTTATAGTAGATTTTTGGTAATAGTATTAGAATTTTATAAGTTGAAGATAGTATTTCTAAGAAGTGTAATACTGTTTTCTTGTCTTTTATTAGAAATTTAAACTCTGGTTTTAGTTTTAGCATTGTAGAGTTAGCTAGTAGATATTTAGATTAAATAAGATAATTATTTGGCAATCTAGTAAATGCAAAGTCTTGATGTAGTATGTAAATATATTATTTGAAGTCTTCTGCATCTCTTAAGAGAAATAGAAAGAAGTTATGAAGTCTGCATAGTAACTCTTGAGATATAAGTAGTAGTAGTAATTTTGTAGCAGATAAATAAAATAATTAGCTAGTATTCTTTGAAATATATAATATTCTCATAATTTATCCTAATAAGAAACCAGATTTTTCAAATCTGCTCTTTGAGTAATTAGGAATATATCTTTTAGTACTTCAATTAGTAGATGTAGATATTCTATTAGAGGAAATCTAGTATCATTGATATAAGATTCAAATATTAGTTCAAAGGTAAATATCCTTTGTAAAGTTTTTGATACAGATGCTAAAATAGCTCTATTGATAATTAGTAAATTAAATAGAATTACTTTTTTAAATTGATTTAGTATTTGTTCTAAATTTTCTAGTAGAGGAGTATGAGTCTTATCAATTGCACAAGAAACTATTTTTCTAAGTGTATTGAAGTCTGTTTTTTCTTTAAGATATATTTTTAAAAAAGTAAATAAGTAGCATATATAGTATATAATTTTCTAAGCATCTATAGTATTAAGTCTAGTAATATTAGATAGTTTAGTACAAATTTGGCTCTTAGTTTTTCAAATATCTGGTTTTAGTTATTTTTGTTTGTTTGAAATATGTTATATTGTTTTTTATATGTCTCAAGAGCTTTGTTGAATAGTAAGCTAAATTCTACTTAATATTAAGATCTATTAGCTAAAATACAAGTAAAAGTTTTAAAAAAAGCTATATCTTTATAGTAGAATTTTACTTTAATAGCTTCTAGAATATAAGTATAGTTAGGTAAGTATTAAGTTTATATACTATAAATTCTTTTATGACTTCTAAAGAACTTAGTAATTTGATAATTTTGTTATAGTTCTATAAAGTTGTATTAAAGATTGCAAAGTTTTCTTCTTTCTATACTGCTAATAATAATTCTAAACTTTTTTTCTATTCTCTTTCTTTAATATCTATTAGTTTTTATTTAGTATTGCTTTCTTTGAGTTGGTTCAATCTATTTAAAATATTATCCATTAGTGTTTGACTATATATTTTTATCTGAGCTTTATCTCCTTATACTGTATTAACTAACTCTGTTTCTGTAGTTTTAGTCTAAGCTTTCTGCATAAAGTCATGTGAACTAGTATGAGTACTAAAAGTTACTAAGTATAGTATATGAATTTTTGTATATTCTATATCTATATTAGAGACATAGCTAAAGCTATATACCTTAGAATTACACTTCCAAAACTAATAATAACAAGGCCTCTATAACTAATAATTCTAATGCCTCTGAGGTTGTTATCCTAGTAGGTTATATATCTAGATCATATAGTCCTATATTTTATAAGACTTATATTGTGTAAATATTCTATAAAATAATTTTATCAAAATATAATTACCTGAAACTTAGTTTCTAGACAATACTCTCATATCTATAGAGATCTGTAATTGTTTTATCAGTAATAGGAAAAACTATTCTGATAATAGTTATATGTTTAGTTCATCTGGTAGTAATAATAATAGTGATAATAATTATAATCCTTAATATATAATTAGAAAAAAATTATTATTTATTTTTTATTTGTATATTATATTGTTGTTTAGCAACAATTTTTATTAAATTAAGAATTTTTTTTTGATATAATATACAATTTAATAAATTACGAAATACATATGCAAAAGTAAATAAAATTATATATATGAAAAAATTGAGCTACCAGAGCTAGCTTTTTTAATATAGTAAACAAAAAATTACAGAAAAAAACAAATTACAGGAAAATAAATTCTAAAAATATGTGCTATTTTTCTTTTTTAATCTCTGCCTCATGTAAAGGACTTCTTTTATTTATCTTTCTGACTTAACTTTGTTTCTGTTCTTCTCTATATGAGAAAGGTACTATAGTACTTAATTGGATATTCTAAGATAGATGTATAGAAATCTGTTTTAGTATCTGTATCAATAAACATTTATTTATAATAATAATATTTTGTAATACAAAAACACAAGTAATTAGAGAAAAGAACCAAGAATCTATATTAAAGATAAATAAAATCAATACTACTTATTTGAAATCTTAATAATAAATATATAAAGAGTTTTACCTGCTATAGAGTATTTACTGTTAGAAGGATTTCTGCACAGAAGTACCTTAGAATCTCATTCACATCTTTTACTATAACATTCAGATACATAACTTCACCTGCAATTTAGATTCCTATAATATTGAATTGATTACTTGTTGGTCAACAAGATTCAGCAACAAAGCTCAAACTATCTAATATTTCTCTCCCTAGTCTTATACTATCATCTACTTTTTTTGAGTTGGTATAGATAACTCAGGAACATTCAACATATACAATTTCAAAGTTTTTTTTACTATATATCAGCTATAATATCAGGCTTTTTTCTAATTTGCTCTTCATTGAGATTTTTGTGAGCTTTGGTATTCAGTAGTACTCAAGCAAACATAGCCATTTGGAAGATCTCTCAAACTTACTTGAAGTAAAAGCATTACTATATCTGTGACATAAGTATTCTTATTTTGCTTACTGCATATTATACTAGTAAATGTTAGATTATTCCATACTTCTCTACTATTATTCCAGTTTAGAATTTTAGATGATTTACATTGCGGTTTTGGAAAATTGAACTATACTTGTTATCTGAAATGAAACCTACTCGAAACTAGTTTTAAAAAGTACTAATTCGAAACTAGTTTCAGATTTTAAAAAAATTTCTGAAACTATGAAACCCGAAACTCTGAAACTTATAATCTGAAACCTAAAGCTATAAAACCTATAATCTGAAACTATAAAATATATAAATTTAAATATTTAATTAATTTTTAATTAAAATTAATTAAATTATTAGTAAAAATATTAGTTAATTAAACTTATTAATTTATAGTTAAAATTTCAAATAATTGTAATTATTGAATATTTTATTATATATTTAAAGGATTAATCTAGATCTATGAATGTGATTCTCTTATTTATTGCATTTTATTTTAATTGGCTAATTTTGCATCATGTGATATCAGATACTTTTATTTGTTACTTACTAATCAAATTTCAAGATCAGGTATAATGTAAAAAATGGAGAAAAAAATACTTTTTTAATAAAATTTCCAATAGCTCAAAATTTTATATAAGAAACAGCCTTTCGTGTTCTAACTAAAAAAATTCCTTACAAAATTTTGATATAAACTATAATTACACTAATCCTAAATCGAATTTGCTCTAACCTTAATTAAATCAAAGTAAAAATATTTTGTTTTAATTTTACGTACTTAGTGATTTAAGTCATATATATTGGCTAAGCAGTTTATATTAGATTATTCCTTATACCAGCTATACTAATTCTTAATTCTGACTACTAATTCTTGAGCTAGCCTAACTAATTCCCAATGCTAGTTCAAACTAATTCTTAATGCCAAGCCTAACTAATTCTTAATGTAGCCCAACTAATTCTTAATACTAGCCTAACTGATCCTTAATATCAGCCTAACTAACTTAATGCCTGGTCTAATTAATTCTTAATTCCAGCCAAACTAACTCTTAATACTTGGCCTAATTAATTAATTCTTAATATCAGCTAAACTAATTCTTAATGTTAGCTTGCTTTAGTCATATTAGCTAGCTTACTATATTTTATCAGCTAGCTTAACTAGCTAAGTCAGCTTAGCCACAGCTACTTTAGTCAGCTTAAAATACTAATTTTATGTTATACCTGAATTATAATTTACTATTACTAGAGGATTATAGCAAAACCCACATATGATACTACAATATTAGATATACGATAATAGTGTTCCTTACAAGATAGTTTGGGCCAGGTTTTAACAAAGATCTGGATCTAAACCAAAAAACTGGAGTGGGTCTAAGAATAGACCTGTATTCAAATAGATGAAACTCAACCTGAACTAGAACTGGTCTAAGTTCTATAGAATAACTTTCTTCTAATTAGTCAATCATTTACAATTATATTTATGCAGTTTAAGTACTTTTTAAGAATGTAATATTTCACAAGTAAAAAATAAAAATTAAACTCATTGCTATTTTTTAAGAAGTGCCAACAGTCACTATATAAAATAATCTCAAATAATTCTACATCTAGAGGTACTTTATTTAGAAAGTAAAATTTCTACATAGGTTATGACTATAGAACTATATGTAATTACTAAATTGTTAAATATAGCTAAGTTAATTAAAGAAAACTAACAATACAACTTTTTTTTTTTAACAATAAATAAGCAATTTCCAAGCTATATTAAAGAGGTTTAAAGCATAAAAAATGTTAATACATAAAAATAGAGTTAGAATAAGAGTAGTTAAAACTTTATATACATATATATATATTAAGACTAATGAGTCTTATTATAATAAGCTTTAGGTATAATAAACGATAAATCTTCAAATACTATATTAGTTTGATATAAAAGGCATAATAGATATTTAAAAAATATATACATATCTGGATCTGTTTTTTTCTTTATTCTTTTGTTAAAGTGAGAAGTGATAGAAACTAATTAAGTTTATGAATATGATGTAATTTAATTGGTTAATTGTCATATGCTTCACAATTACCTAATAATAACATGTTATTCAATTTTATGTAATAACTAATCATGAGAAAGTTATCCTATATATCTAAGTTAGGGTTGTTAATGGAATGATCTAAGGTAATATAGTTATACTCTTATACTACTCTAGAGTATAATACTATTAACAACTCTAGTCAAAGTATACCTTGCTTACATAAAAATTAAACTTATATTTTTATCTAAAGATAGAATAACAATTTTATAATACATACTAATTAATTAAAAATAAACAATTTGAAAATTTGCTAAGCAAAATGCACTCAATTTTATTATATTATTCCATCTAATCAAGTTATAAATATTTTATCACTAATATTTTAAATCTTATCTAGTCTATTAAAAAGAATTCATTCTATTATTTACTTAACTATTTAGTTCTCTCTACTATGATCTCAAACATATAGCTTCTCGTACTATCTTATAATCTAATCAATTTTGCTTATTAGTAATCATATCTCTACTTATACTAAACATCTGCTTACTTAAAATGCTCGTTGCTGATATCAAAAGATAGTCTCGAGCAAATTTTGCAAGATTTAGATAACATGATTCATTATTTCACTATCACTCTAAAATATTAGTATCTTCACTTATTCATAGTACTAGTAAATATATATCAAGTTCACTTTGTTTTTCTATATATAATCATTTGTATATTCATACTATTATATTTGATGATTCTTTAATAGTATAAGTCATATCTTGATTAGGAACAGATGCATATTCATTCTCATATTTGTCTATAATACTAAAAATAATATTTATTTATTTATTAATTTTTATAACTTATTACATGATTTGTATTGCCAACTTATATATTCTTGACCTGAGTAATAAGTTGTGATAACCATTTAAAAGTTTCAAAATACCTAAGTTTAAGCCATGGGTCTAATATTATTACAGCAATTCAATTTTTGACAATAGTCTAAAAGCTTTGTAGTTGCAGCCTTACACTCATGATTAAGTTATTGTGGCATATTTTCTTTCTTTTTAGCCTCATTAAGTGTTTCACTAACAAATGATAAAGAGGAATAACTATTAACAACATTGGATATTCTTGTTTTGATATCTCAACTATTACTAAATTAAACAAAATATTAAAGTTTTTTTTTAAAAAAAAAATTAGATTAATTAACAAAAAAACTTAATTATAAAAACATTCTCTAAGTACCTTACTTAATAGATCTGATACAAATTAGTCATAATTCTGATAAACTAACCAAATAAGTTATCATTTCAATAAATGAAATATAGATATTTAATTGTTTAAATTTTAAATCCTATTTTGCATAATGATTTTTATCATATTGTTATAAGAAGTAGCTTTACAAAAAGATGTAAATACTGCAAATTATTTTATCATGTAATAATTGGAGATTTTGCGATTTCAAAGAACCTCAAAGATTTTTTAAATATATATATAATTAATATGATATATATAATTAATTATTTAGTATAAATTTTTAATTTTGAATAATCTTAATAATTATCTGCTATTATCATCACAAAAATTACATACTTATATCTTTTTGCAAATCACTATAATACTTTAATTATAACACTTTGCCAATAAAGTGTGATATCTGCAGATCATGATATCATGTAAAATTGCAGATTTTTGATTCTCTAAAAATTTTAAAGATTTTAAACAATATATGGGAATACTCACAGCAAAAAGGAGGATAAGACTATATATTATATAGTCTTATTTCCCTTTTGCTATAGGTACTCCCATATACAATTGTTATTAAAATATATAATTAATATAAAATCTAAATCTTTGAAATTTCCAAATACTATCATTACAAAAATCACAATATCACACTTTATTGCAAAGTATTATAA